TATGCTAATTAAGTTCTGATATCCAAACACTTTGTTTAAACTTGATGAATTATTTATAAATTTGAGAACACTATTTGAAACACTCAAAATTACGTTTGGATGTAAAGAAGCGTTAAAGTTATGCGTAACAAGAGAAATTTCAGAGGAATAACAGTTACTCATAAAAGAGCACGAGTGGTTTAAAATTAGAATATTAAAATGCATTACAAACACACGAATCTTCGTCCAACGAACCAGTTTATTCGATTCACTCGTGTACAGCGTATAATACGTTCGCTGGTTCCCAGTCCACCCGCCAGCAGGCAGTACACCGCTCGTGAGTGTTACACCGCTGACAACCATGCTACGATAATCACTGCTGTCATTAACCTCTTGCTACATATAGTACCACACGAATTGTCTCGCTACACAAGCTACTCAATAGATTAACAGGTCACAAAGATCGTATTCCTGGTAAAACAAGAAGGACCATTGTTTAAATTCTCTTGTAAGTGATTCAACAGTGCATTAGATTTGAGGAAACGTGTTGGGTTTTGCTCGACAATTGTCTTACAAACCTGAATCAGAATTTTAAGACTGCAGTGAGTTAATTTTTAAAGAGAAATAACTGTGTAGCGGACAGATAACAAATAACACAGAGTTACATTCTCTTAGGCCCAGTCATCAATACGCCGGAGAAATTTGAAAACGCAACAATCACCGTTTATGTTGGATTTTTGTTTGAGGTAAACTCAGGCAGGAAAACCACATAATTATCGCGATGTCTTCGTTTTCGAAAAGCTCCGTTTTCAAAATGTTTTCCGTCCACACTAAAACGCAAAACCGGCGTTTTCAAATTCCTCCGGTTTGAAGAGCGCTTTCAAAAAGCTCCGTTTTCGTGACGGATTAGTGTGGATGGTAGGTCTAACAGTAGAAATAACGCTGCGTTTTCGAATTTCTCCGGCGTAGTGCCGACGGGGCCTTAGAACAAACACTGTACAAATATTGGAATAACTGACCCGAACTAAACAACCAAGATCATTCACCTGACGTCACCAAGATTCAAATTTAGGCAATGACATAATTAATTCTATAATAACTATACACTGTAGCCTCGCCAACACAAACACCACGAAACATAATAATAATAAATAATTTTGATAAATTTTTTCTTGGAAAAAGAAAAGCAAAACCAAATTTCCCAAAGGCCTTGCATGCTCTCCGACTATAGTGAGCAGTAAATTAATTTTTTATATAATAAAATAAATCGCCCCAAATAAATGATGTTGAATAAAAAAAAATTCATAAATATACTGAAGATAACTTGAACGTCTTAAAGGGTAGGTCACGCTATTATGTCGATTCTTTCACATTATGTCACGCAATTCTTCAGTAACACAACGTAAATTGTCTTCCTCAGTCACGCCTTTTGGAATTTCCGAGATGCCTTACTGCATCTGTGCCAAAAAGAATCTTCGCACGAAGCCATTCATATGGAAATGACTAATTTTCTTTGTAAACAGTTTCGCACGGACTCGTTTTGAAAAAGAGGCGATAAGTAACTAAGAAATAGCCTATTCTTGGTATTCTTTCTTATCTTGTCTCATTATGAGTTGTCAACGTCAAAATTACAACGAACAAGTTTACTTGTAGAATCGTTTATAATAGCTTAACCTAACCCTTTAGTCTTAAAAGATATCTTTCATTATCCAACACTTCCAGTCGACGATTCCAGCTACCTTGACATTCCACGTCAAAATTAACCAGTATATTATCAATATAATGGCAAAATAAGTTGCCTCAACTTGTCCCCCTCACAGGACGTTAACAATAATTGCATTGTTAAAACAAATAATATATTATGACCTCAGAATCAATCGTTCACACAACTCAATCACGACATATACATTTCCATCAGGTTGTTTTGATAATAAGATCTACGAATCTAAGAATTTGCATTATAATTTTATTTCATAGTAATCGTAAAATGTGAATCTGAATAGTCTTTGTCATTCCTCGTTAATTTCGACATTTCTGGTGGGTTTAATAAATTATGAATACATTAAACCAAGCCAGACAGTTTATGACACATTGAGGGTCTTCAACAGTCAGACTTTTTTGCCAAAATGTAAAATACATACCATAATAAATATAACTTTACAGTGAAAAAGAAAAAAACAAACATAAATATCAAGAAATTTTCGAACTTTCATAGATCTGCAAAACTTCAGTGTGGCTGTGGCTGTGTGAAAACAAAAAAAACCATATTTTTTCAAACCACACCACACCAGATTACTTATTCCATTGAATTCGTTTTTGAAACATTTTTGCAACTTTTGATCTGAATTAAGATTAAATATTAACCACCAACAACACAGTGATTTCCCAGGCTTAATATCAATTGACTCACCTTTAATACCTACTTTTACTTGCTGCGAACCACAAAAATAAAAAGTATATGGCGCGGTGTCTGCTTTTAACCAAAATCTAGTCACTATTACAACACACGGGAATATTGCAAGATCTGAGAATAACAAGTGAGAAAATAGATGTTTGGTCAGCAGTTGTAAAAGCTGACGACACGTCAAGCTCAAACACAGCACGCGAGTACTATGAGATAACGTAACGTCACGTAACGTAACGTTACATAACGTTTCGTCGCGTAACGCCATATAAAGTAACGTCACGTCACGTCACATGGTGTCACGAAACTTTCACATGGTGTGCTGTTCAGGTAGTGCGCATTCTCAGGTCTTGCAAATTCCTTTCTACACTAACTCACACAAACACCAACAAGTCAAGGTATATAATCGTCTTCTAAATCGTCGGCACTTTCGCCGTCACTCTTTCCTCCCATCAGATTGTGATGATCAGACAGCGCTTGTTTGGCGAGATACGCTTCACGCTTGATCTTGATCTCAAGGGATTGTGGGACATCTGGCACCAACAAGTCGATCAAACGAGAAATAAAGAAGACGAAATGCTGCGAGGTAAAGGGAACCAAATAATTTAACATTAACATACGAACTCCCACCTCAAGTTGTTTATCAGCCAACAAAGCACAAACAACTCGTTACGACCTGTGCCCTTCTGTAATCGGTAACGATACAATTCGGTTAATTTTCTTTTTTGAAAAAAGTTTCTACACAAGCGTTAGAAAATTATATTTTAGCTAATGTGGCAGTAACGTTTCACGTAATTTTGAAGCAAGTTTCGTTTAGATCAGGTTTGAGTCCATAGCAACCCGTGAAAAGCAGAACTTGAGACGTTTAAAACATGTGAAGAGGGAAATTGCCCTGAGAAACTTGACTGTTCGTCGGGTTGGACGATTGTGATAAGACTGATGATACCGTTACTATATAGACACGAGTGTTTTACTGGAAAATACACCACTCGTACAATTCATACGAAACCACATCCAGGACCCGAGTGATGTATTTTCTAAATCCTCACTGGTGAGGATATTGATGACGTCATTCCTCGCTTTGTCACGGTTGTTTGTACAAACAGTCAGTTTGCCTATATAATAAAAAGAACATTACACGGTGGCTAGAAGATATGAATTTAATTTTCTCGTGTTAAAAGCAATATTCCACCATTCGAAAATAAAATTCATATCTTCACGCCCCCGTGTAATATCCTCTATGTATCTTCGTTTTCCAAACTCTTACCTCAAACATGATTACAAATCCAAGCCGAAGTGCTAACAGATGCCAGTAGAACGCTGTAAAATGACCTTCCCGATCTCTAAACTCCGGGTATCTAAAAACACACAGCAAAGTGAAATAAGTGGACACTGAGTGAAGTACACATAATTAAACATCGTTATGTACAACAGGGCCCAGAATAGTAATTCTGGATTAACACACAACATAAGGTACTTTAATATTACACTTTTTTCGTTAAAACGCAAGTTTATCATTATCACTCTTAAGTAAAGAATGTATCCTGCATTTCCATGAAAATATGGTGCATACATATAAGACGAATACGGACTAATCGAGCATATTAAGTCCAGTATTTTTATACAGTAAATTTCACCCTTGACCAACCTGCACGGTACAGCGGTGGTGTTAGGCGGGGACCAAGCCAATGAGAAGTTTAGGTAGCCATTGAGCGAATTATCTTCTGATATCGCAAAGCGATACAGGATTTTAGGCAAAAAAGTCGACGTGAAGGCGATAAGAAAGGCCTAAAAACAAAGCACAAGAAGAAAAGATTGGTTTAGAATACAGGGAAACACGTTTTTACCATGAATCAGGCTCTGTGATTGGTTTGGTTGTACTTACGTTGCTGATAACGGCTATTTTGGCGACGCTGTCCAAGATATCGAACCAGATTCCAATGTCTTGGGCTCGGTCGGCGATCGGCCGCCTCACTTCACACACGAACTTATCCGAGTCAATTCGGATCTCAAAGATGTTGTTGGCGAGCGCAAAGAACGGAGCCAAAGGAAATGCAGCCACAAAGATTGTGATGAAACCGAACTGGAGAACTTTGGGAGTAAAAAAAAAAATGTGAATTGACAAAAATACATTTTAACTCAATAAATTATTGGGCTACTAAAAAGCTAGTCTCCTTCGCAGCCGTCATTATGGTCGTCAGGTGAAGCGTTGCGTGACGAACCTAATAACGGCTGCGAAGGAGACTACTAAGAAACAGTAGGTGGCCTTATTGTCTCACTTCTTGCATAACGGAATTTTTTTACAGTTTTACTACGTGTGTTAGTCTCTGTTTTTCTTTCTTTCCGTCTGTCTGTCTAGCTATCTGTATGTCTGCCTGCCTGTCTGCCTATTTCTATTTCTGTCTGTCACGGTCTGTCTGTCTGCCTATCGGCATGTCTGTCTGTCTGCCTATCTGTGTGTCTGTCTGCCTATTCGTCTATCTGTCTGTCTGTCTGTCCGTCTGTCTGTCTATCTGTCTGTGTGTCTGTGCCTGTCTATCTGTGTGTCTGTCTGCCTATCTGTATGTATGTCTGTCTGTCTGTTTGTTTGTATATTTTGTCTGTCGGTCTGCCGTCTTTGTATATAGTCTCGACACTCACTCATCTCCAAGTATTCTTGGAAGAGTCCTTCATTTTCCACCAGTTCATAGTCAGCCTCCCAGCGCGGTTTGCTTTCTTCTTTGGTTGTACCCCGCTTCTTTCTCTTAATCCATTGTTTCAGCATGCTACAATGAAAACAATCCCCTTTCTTGTAAGATTCACGAATAATGCGAGTGCTCCATGTGAACAACAGTTATTTATCAGGTTTTTATCCAACCTCCTTCACTCTTTTCATTTCCATTTTTTTCATTCATTAAGACGTTAAATCATCATTTATTGAATAGACTGGATTCTACAAGCGGTCTGATTGGCTAAATAGGCTAAACGTTTCATCATAGATCTCACGACCACGGAGTGAAACATGGAAAACTGTGTTTTACTGTTTCACACGCCTTAAACCCACATCATAAACCAACGAAGAACACTAAGTCATGTATTATATTGTCAGTAAACACATCCGTTATCTGAGTAGGCTTAAAAACTGTAGAATGTGTCAATTTTGTACGAGAGTTCGTAACTCACAGGTACCGAACTAGCCTGCAGTGTAGGCATAGTTAGGACGCGCGAGTGCACATTTTCGTATTAGGCTACCATCTTGGATCTGTGGGGCGAGTGAAAAGTTTCCAAAGGGGCAGGCGTGGCGTGAGGCGTGAGGCGTGAGGCGTGAGGCACTTCGTGATGCTTTTTGCCCGAACATTCTACCGGTCGAGTATTCAATTACAATCCAAGATGGTGGCATCGAAAACCTGGTCTATCCAGCGTACCGTTCCAAAATAACGCAGGCTAGTACCAAGCAATAACAGCGTGCACAGAATCTCAGTTACTACTCACGGTATAACAATCTCCTGCACGTTGTTGATGGTTTGTTTGCCGACCATGATAATGACAAGTTGCTGAGCAAGCTCCATCAAACATCCACTGGGTGCACACTAAAAAAACAACCAATCATGGGTGAGAAAATGTCTCACGTTATCATCTCTATTGGGCTGCTAACACAGTTGCGTTACTTAGTCCAGACCTGTGTAACGTTACACTGCATAAAATAAAAGCGTTACTTTACAGCGTGACTTGACTTGCGACTGCGTGACTACAGCTATGTAGCTTGGCTTACCTCTTCTTGTCTGAGTCCAAACAGTCTGCGGTAATGTCCAGGGTAACCAACCAACCTACAAACAATACATCATCAGTCACAAACTGTGCAACCATGTAAATTTAAGTTGTACCACGATAATCAGTTCCTAGTGTCCAGATCTGATGGTGAATTCTCCACACTGTTCTTGATATTTTCTACACTCCTCGTTGGTAGACTTTGCTTAAGGTTCAGTAAGACGTTTTTCTTGAGATAAGGAAGTCCCTAATTCTTGCGCCTTGCAAACTTGAATGTGTAACAGTAACTGGCTTGAACCCAGCAGTATCAGTGGTTCGTACTTTACAATCGTCTGGGTACAACTGAAAAGGACTGTTGTTGTGACTTACGTTTCCAAAACGTGAGCAGAGGTCATCTTTAGGGTCTGAAAGTGACCTCAGACGTTTAAGATGACTTCTTGTCATGCTGTGGAAACATCATTTATTATAAAAACTGCAGTGTTTTTACAAGGATTTCCAGCCAAGAGAAAAGTCCTGAGAAATATTAGGATATCTTCGGAATTTTTGGGAAACGTTCGGAAACGTTTGTGTGGCCTACGGACAGCTTTTGGAGAATCTTCGGAAATCTTCGGAAAGTGGTCTGAAATCTTCAAAAAATCGTCAAGTTGAACACTCGAAGAGAAATTCCATATCTACGCGTGTCCATGTATTTATGTCCATGTATTTATCAACAACAGTCCTTTTTAGGTCTACGATCACACTAGAAGAATTAAACAAGAGGTGTAATTAAAAGGGTGAGGGAAGCCAAACAAATGATGTTCTTACTTTCCCTTGAAGAAGGCGATGTAGAAGATAGACGAGTAGAAATTGACGAACTGAAATACGAACACTTTGAATGTCAAACTGTCCTCGTACTCAGTCTGTGTTCGATGCATTTCTAAGGAAGAAATTATAATTATAAAAAACGTTACTTGGTCGTCACGCAATACGCCCAGTGTTCATAACGCAGTGCTTATAATGTGGGAATGAAGGTCGTCTAACCCCCAAATAAAACTTGTCTTTTAATTAATATATGATAAATGGGGCTTTTAAATTATATAGTCTGCTCAACTATTAACGTTTATGTTTGGGCAAGTGACAAAAGAATAATTTACTGTGTTTAAATAAAGTCTAATAAAAGACAAGTTTTAATTGGGGGCTAATCGAGTTATGTGGGGGCTAATCGACTTCTGGTTGGGGGCTAACAGGCTACGGGCTAATCAACTTGAGGGCTAAACGACCGGTTACCTAATGCGGAGAAGAACGGCGTGACAATCCTACTAACAGCCGTAAAAGAGGAGGCTCTATAGTACACGACAAATCAGATTAAGTTCCAAGAGTAGTGTGAGGTGCATGCATGTTAATACAAATATACTTTGGCCCAGTAAGTGGTTAATGTAACATTATACTCTGATTTCCATGTACTTCATGTTAGTTTAGGGTAAAGAGTATTCCATTTGAGAGTACTTACCCCAGTGAGTCAGTGCCAAGGCAACTCTTTCGTACACCTACGAATTTTAAAGCATCATTAGTAAGTTCTATCTTGAAGGAAACTGAACAGTAATGATCTCAATTTTGTAGAATATTTAACAGGATTTTTATTCCATTTTTAGACAATTATTTTTAGACTGAGCACTGTTAATGTCACAGTTTACAATTCTTAATTAAGGCCCCAGGTTTATTAGTTGTAATACTATTAGGTGTAACCCTCTTTTAAAGTTAAGTCTGATTGATTGAACACTTTACAAATGACAAGAATCCATTGGTTAGGGTAAAAACTAACCATGCTAATGTTGGAAAAGAATTACAGAATAATAATATAACAAATCAAAATCCCTGGTACAGGCTTGGCTCGTTTAATTCCTAGCGGAAAAGTGTCTCTTAATAAGAAAATCTTCATAAAGCTTCATGAGTTCACACGTATTTAACCAATTGTTTGATGAGGGGACTATTTTTGATGTCCACAGCTGGAAATATTCACCAGCTACTCGCAAATAAGAGAGACCACGGTGTACCCACCCTGCTGAGGATCATAATAATGGTCAAGTTAACAAAGGCACCAGTCACGTTAGCAATTTGTTGAGCCCGCGCTCGAGTCGATGGATTGGACGCCAGTGGTCGGTAAACCAGCAGCTTATAGACAATCACTCCCACCATGAACACCAACACTAGCGAAACCTGAAAAACATTATTAATATTTAACACCAACAAACACCGATTTTTCAGTGTTTGCTTCGTTTGGCATAAGCTGGGGAGCATATGTGAGAGCGCCTCTTCACCAGAACCCTCAGCTCCCCGCCGGCTTTGCGCGCGTGTAACTCTAAGGGGAGCCTGGCAGGCTAGCAGTGGTTGGCTCAAGAAGAGTGTGCAGCGATGATGTTGTCTTCTTAGCCAATCAGGTACAACCCTGATCTGTAACATGCACGTGATTATTTAGCCTGCGTTCACTAATCTCACCACCTGTGGCTTTTTGGCAAAAACGCATTTTATAGGCATTTTTGACATTTTCTGCATGGATATATATGAGCCAAATCAGCTCCAATCTAACCAAAAAAGACATTTGCGACATGACAGCGTGCCTTTCTTTCCTAGCATCGCGTTTTGTGACATTTTTTTTCTCGGGCATGTGAACAAATCAAGATTTTGAGATAATTTTCTGGACGAGTAAGGGACCTTCGTCTTTAGGCTTTTCGGTTTTTTAATTTTTTTTTCGCCTTTCCTTTTTCGCCTTTCATTATCTTTTTGCTGGAATTGTTGACATTCTACTGGGCTTGCTTCCAGTTCAAGAATTACCGAGAAAGCATCATCCAGACGGGAAATTCTTACCAAGTGTAGTTGAGAAACATTTTGCTCCGAGTTTTTCACTCAAAAATGTCTAAGCATTTTCGTGCATATTTCACGCTCAATTGACCCAATCACTCTGATCTGAGTATCATTAGAAAGATCTTTTCCTCCTGCAGAACGTGAGCGTAGGTGATGCTAAATTTAATCAAAGTTGATGACGTCAGAAGTGGAACAAAGGCCAACGCTCGTCACGGCTGGTTACGGTCAGCACAAGGGTCAATGGGTTTAAACACATGTGATCTTAATACGGTATTTGACAGGTCTATCCAAAGCAAATTAGCTGACATGTCTGATACTAGTGCTGTTAGTACATGTATCTTACCATAGTGATAACAATAGCTATTCCTGAGAAGACTCGAGGTTGCCTCTTTTCATCAGGAAAGTGTGGTTCTAATATTCCTGTCACTGGGTTTCGTTCTACTGTTGGCGCTAAAGCTGCAAATGTTGGCCGTGGACGTTCCTAAACAAGAATGAAAAACGCGTCACCCCACAAAACTAGAACAAGGGCCGGGGTACACCCAGAAAAAAAAATGGGTAGGGGTGTGCGGCCCTCTTCCCCTTACCCTATTTAAGAACAAAATCTGTGATTTTCCCGAACCTATTTATGACCTGATCAAAAATTTGATACCCTATTTTAGATCCCGCTGATCCATCAAATCAATACCCTGTTTCAGACCTGCCTTGTTATTCAGACCAATGTCAAAGGCAATGTTTATATGCTTTAGTAGGGTAGGATAGCTTCTTCTAAAAAACATACCCAAATCAAGACTAGAGTGCAAAAACCATAGCCTATAAGACACCAAAATGGACAAAATTGATACCCCATTTCTGACCAAAACGGCAAACATATCATACCCTTTGAGGTTGCACATACCTTTATAGCCCATATAAGGGAGCAACGCCAGGGAGCAAGGTTAACCATGTAATAGGTTTGTTCAGTTTACGTTACCTCCTCTTCCTCATATTCCAGTACATCCCAGTGATATGCCAAAGTTATTTCCTTTCTTTTCCAGAACTCCAAGAAAAACACAGCTATAGGACAGAGAAAAAGGAACATTACAAAACCACATAAGGGGAAATGAAAGGAGCCAGCTTTGTCTTGCAACATGTAGAAGTATGATAAGTCTAGGGTTTCACAAACTTCTGCTCTGAAAAAGGCTTACCGTAATTGAAAAAATGTGTTTTGAACAAAAATTTCACTGACTGGTAATTGTATTATGCAAAACAATAATTGGGCAGAAAACACCAAAGAGGCCAGTGGATAAGCTTGGAGAAAGTTGCGATAGCTAATGAACAATAATTTTGGCAAATAATATTTTATTTTCAATGGAAAACCCTTTGAAAGTTGGGCTATTGCCACTTGTCTGAAAAGAGAGATCCTTTACAGTATACTATAGTTTTAACCTTTGCCTCTGAAATATCTCTTGGGAGTATTTAAATATCGATCTTTTGAGAAGTGTATTTATCAGTCATGTGCAAATTATAGCACTTACCCCAGAAGGAGACAAATATGGCAAAGAAAACTGTGGCTGCATTGTCAAACAAGTACGAAACCTAGGATACAAATAGACCACGTGTCAACTATCTAAAACTGACACACAATTTTCACATCATGAACTTGAATAAATGTAGCACATTTTCCTGATTTTGTTCAGTTTAAGTGAGGCTTAACTTTACTAACTTCAAGAAAGGGAATTCTGCTGAGCAATGTAAATGGAAGGAGGGGCATAAGTGAAACAGATATTTAAGTCAAGTTCTCCTGTTCTATCTTTGTTCCCAATTCGAGCTGGGAAAGCTGAGCTCAAACGAGAAAAATGACCGTGAAGCACAAAATTTGAGGGTGAAGAGTGAGATGAAGAGGAGCACAAGTGGGTCTACCAGTCCTTCAGTAGGCTGTGAGCAGGCTCTAGTGTCTGGGTTTTGCCCTCAAGTGCTGGTTAATATGTTTCTGGCTTTTTGCTTTCATGTGCAAGCAAGTTTAAGAATGATGTGGGGGGTGAGGTGGGCAGTGTCTCATCTCACATGTGTGGACAATCACTTGCAGAGTCTCGGCCTCATGGCCACACTGCTTGCACCTTTGGCCCAAATACAAGAGCCTGCCCGCAGGCTAGTCCTACAGCTGTGAGGGACTTTGAGAAAGTCTTTTCCTGCCTTTGGACAGGAAAGAGGGTGAGTGTACACACCTTGCCCAGCATACAGCTGCCATGAAGGTCAACTGGATGGCAGCCAAGGGACTCATCACACAAGGGACACATCATGTAGGTTTCTGGAGGGCTGTCACACACATCCAGTCTGGAAGTAAATAATTAACAAACAAAAAAACATAAACCAACATCTAATACTTACACTTCTATGTAACTGACTGAAAAATATGTTTGACCAAATTGAAGACACTGACATTTTGATTGACATATCATGGACTTTGAGTTGCTGTTAGTCACCAACCTTGCTAGGATTTGAAAAGTGGGCATCCAAAAATAAATGAGCTATAGGGTCTGCTTGAATGAACAATTTATAAGGCAACAGGTGAAAAATAAAACAATTTCCATAAAAACTGGTTGTCCCCAGGATGCTTGGACACCCGTCTGGCTAAAATCCTGCTGTAAGTACATTAAGATAGCAGTATTATGTTGTAGAAAGTTTTGTAACAGTGACACAACAAATGCGGAAAAAAGTGACAAACTTACGCAGGTCTGTTGTCAGGTCCATTCATAGTCACAACACCATACAGAAACACCAGCAGGCCAACAAATGATGGCATAAGAAGCCATGCAGTGTATTGACCTGAGGATGAACGTTTTGACAAAAACTTCAATCAAGACGTGCAAAAATTATTGCACAAATGAACAGGGCATGGGAACTCTAACAAGTGATGTTTTGAGGACTAGTTTGTAGAACCCTGAATTTCGTGAGTCCATTTTGTGGATGACTCAGATTAAGTTCCTGGATCAAACTTTGTCAGAGCACTACACTAGCCTGCTGAGTAGAGATCTATCTCTTCCTAGATTTGCCAAACCAGTCAGTATATTAAATGGATGCAATTCAACCTGTACATGTAGTGTTCATTTAAAGGAACAAAGTGAAAAACAATCTTAAAACACAAACAAGGCAAATTTAAGAAAGAATCCAGTAGAAAATTAACTAAAATAATCTTGTCTCAAAATGGCAACTGATCCGTACTTAATAGATAAGTTTTATGCCTACATGCATACTTCTTTTACATATTTTTAACCATGTGACAAAGTGAATTTTTATCTTTTAGTCCTTTTGTATTTTTACTTAAGTACTCTAATAACAGGACCTCCCTTAATACCAGTGTTTATTACACTGAGGGGGTTTATCCTGTATAAATATTATTATTATAATTATTATTATTAAAAAGTGGAAATGACCATACCTAGCCAAGCAAAGTATATACCAATCTTTTCTCCAAAGTATTCTCTAAAGGAAAACAATATTAAATATAACTGTACATGTAGTACAATATTGCTGTATATTTGTACTGTTATTTGGAAGGTATTCGCTGCAGTTGGACAATAAAATGTTACAGTAGAAATAACAGGTACATGCACTCCAGTTACATTACCAATAGAAGCTGAAAATAATGATTCACAGATTTCATGTAAAATGAGTTATCAGTTATCAGTTATCAGGTAGAATATTACTGTATTATTGTAAGCAGGTGGGAGTGCAAGGCTGTGGCCTTAGAGTTCCAAAGGTTTATAACCATGAAATCCTGGGCATCCAGATCCAAATTAAGCTTTACTTCCTGTGAAAAAAATAAGTTTTTTCAGTCACCCAAAGGCAAACGTTAGTCTCCTGTGGAACTCGCATGTTTCTAGAGCACAGCCCTGGAGTGTGTGATGATGGTTACAAACCTGATATGATCCAGAGGTTGATATTTTAGCCATTTGCCCCATCGTGCCCAGTACTCTTTGAGTATCTGTCTTTTGTTGAGTTTTATTTCTTCAGGTCCATCTGGCCCTTCTTTCCACTCCTTTGGTAATTCAGCAGGTCCCTAGTGTAAAGAAATTTGAACAACTCTCATTATAGAAGGGTCTGTGAACTTACACATTGAAGAAACTGCTGGTAAATATGTAATATAAGTGGGCAATACATGTACATGTATGAAGATGGAGGTCAGGCAAAAATGTTTATTGCATGCCACTTGTCAAATGTACAGCCATAGGAAATATCCATTGCATCTATCCAGATGAAGGCCATGGAAATTACAAGGGGGAGAAAGGTTTTAAAAACCCAGATTTATGAGGCAAAACTGATATATCATTTAATTTAGTTAAATGACAATTTAACAAAAAAAAAAATAATAACTGCCACAACTTACTGGATGAAGAGGATATCCAGCTGTGAAAATGCCTTCCTCAACAAGGCGATTGATACCTGATATGATAAAATCAAAATTATCCACAACTTACTATTCCTAAGCCCAAAATGTCATTATAATAAATTCTTATTACCTCTTACCCCACATCTCTTTGTATACTAGTTAAGAGAATATGGCTGTACATCAAAATGATTATCCACTGTCTGCTTCACAACATTTTTGGATCAATGCTATGAGAAGAAATCCTCTGTCATTTGAAGACCATAAAATTCTAACAATATTCAGCAATTCTGATAGCTCAACAAGAAGATCATTGAAAAAAACAACACATAACAGCTTCCTTGAGATTGCTGTTATCAGTGATACAACCATGATTGAATATCCAGTGTAAAGTGATTTTCTTGCTACTGACATCCTTCTTTTTTTGTTTTTGATTTTGTCAACTAGTATAACTGACTGCAAACAACTCTGAAACAGCTATGTTATTGTCGAGGAAAAGGTTGTTGTTATTCATCGTGGTAGATGCAATAATAAAGTGTATTATCGTTTGTCAGTGAGACAAACGATAATACACTTTATTATAGCTATGTTATTATGACTCATCATCAGCATTTGATCTTTCTCAGCCTACTAGAGAATTGGCCAGAGGCTCTCTGCTTCCAGGCTATCATATCCTCTACAGCCAATGCTGTCTCTACCCAGGTCCTTAGGCCTTGCTTCTAAAGTTCTCTTTCCACTGTTATCCTCCAAGTATTATTATGACTACTTTCACATAAATTAACATCTGATTGTCACAAAAAACTCATTTCATTTGACTATGTTCCTACCAATTTCTCCTTTCTGTCGCTTGCCAAATGGGGCAGTTTCCATGATTTCATACACCTTGAAAGAAAAACAGCATATCTATTAAGAAATGTTTTTTTTTTTAACAAATTAATGTTCTCTATCAGCATATACCATTTTTATCACACAAAACAACTAGACAACCAATTAAACATGCATTCCATCACCTGATTATTTTATTAATGACTACATAATACCCTACTTTTAACTTACTGAAGAGGGTCTACTAAGACAAGAATTCTATGGATCAGCTATGGTAGGGTTTCTACTCCAATCATGATAGGCTAGATAGTACATTACATGAATATGGCAAAATTTATTGATTTTACACTTGACCAAAATGACACAAACAGCCTTTCAAAATATTACTTACCACTCTTGTTCTTTCTGTTTCTGTAAAGTAAGTCTCTGGATCTTCATGGCCAATAAACCTGGCAATATAATAAATGAAGGAATTTTATATACCTACCATGAATTTTACTTCCTCACCCAAATTTTAAGATCCAATGACTGACTATGGAAAAACCAAGTGGTTCTCAGGATTTTCATTAAGGACTGGGCACCGGGAAAATTGGCCGGCTATATAAAGGATGATTTGCCTGCCTGGTTTGAACATCTAGTGGAAAATATTTCTTATAAAGAAGTTTGACAATTCAAAGAGTTTTTCCAGCCTGTTAAACCCAGTGACCCTCCTTCTGAAAACTAATGGGATTCCTGGGTCCTTCTATCTGTTTAGGGGTCAGTCACCAATTGCAAACTCTTCCAAATTCAGTGGGTGAGATAAACATCACAAAGTATAAAATGAATGAAAAGAGTTAAATGCTGCCAGAGCCAAGCTTTTGAATTACAACTGTACATACACCAAAATCTCTCTAAAATGACCTGGAGCTTTGAACAACAGTCAGTTAATTCTGTCCTAGAATGGCTGTTGTATTCAAGTTAAACTGTGCAATTGTAAAGCTGAATGGCATTTTATTGCCAGTTGACAAAAGCTGCAGTATCACGATCAAAGGAACCCTTAGTTTCATGAAATTTCTTAATAGTTTGTGACAACTTCACATATTTACAATATCATTACTATATCTTCCTTGTCGAATGTTATTTAGAGCTCATTTACAGGCTTATACTGTGATTTACTTACTTGTTGAGTTTGTTTGCTTGAAATGTACAAGTGAAATAGTCATTGGGCGTGCCTGGTACATCATCCTTGAAAATGTTTGGTAAATGCAATTGCTCAAGGATTCTCTCAGACCAGTTTACCTTTTTAGTTGTACGAAGCTATGAACAAGATAAAGAGGAAATGCATGAGCTTAAGCTGCAGGTCTTTTAATTGACTCTTGCTATATTACAGTAAGAACCAAGGTCCCTCAGCTATGTGCAGTGACAGGTCCATTAATATACATTTATTATATGGATTGTTCTTGTAGCTGATATAACGAGCACTCTGATTGGCTAATTGTAGGGCATTATTCTCCCGTAATGCCCACAGGCCAATTACGGGCTTCCAAAAACAAAGCAAAAAGCCATATAATAAACAACTTTTTACCTCGAACGTTCGGTTTTTATGGGAAAATTTCAAACCTCGACATTGCCGTATTGACACCTAGCTATCGTTTGGTCAATACAGCAAGGTCTTGGTCTGAGACTTTCCCGTAAAGACCTCACTCTCAGTTAATAGTAATAATGATAATAATAATCATAATAATAATAATAACAATAATAATAATAATAATAATAATAATAATAATAATAAAGACTTTATTTACGGAGGGTTAAACACTTGATAGCCAAAGGCTAAGAAACTTGCAGCCCTCAGAAAATAAAACTATGAATACAACTATATAATATAACTAGTTGTACCTATTGGTGCCAATGAGTGAATTGAGTTAGTCAATGGGAGTCGATTGAATTTTGTAATATTTATCTGGGATACTTCTAGTATAACAGGTGTTGAAATGAATTTCTTTTAGTTAATGTTTCAAATTATTGATGTAATTGAACACAACATTGTTTATTTTTCAACTCAGTGAGTGAACAAAATACTAAACACTTAATTTTTTTGTATTTTTAAAAATCCTGCGTGCAGGACCTCGATGGGCCATTATTTTGCCTACCATTCTGCTTTTTGAGGTGTATACAGCTTGGATTTGTTGTGATTGAATCGCACAATTGTTAAAGCTCAACAAGACCCGAGTTGTTTTCTGGAATGAATTCGAGCGTTGTTTATTTGATTCAGGGTAGCACTCAGGATTTGTTCGCTATCCGTTTGAAGAATTATTTTGGTAAGTAGTTTGTCTACACTCGAATTCATTTCAGCAAACAACTCGGGTCTTGTTGAGCTTTAACAATTTTATGATTCAATCACAGCAAATCCAAGATGTATACGCCTAAAATAGCAGAATGGTAGGCAAAATAGTTCTGCACGCAAGAGAGCTGAACAAACATCGAAGCCTCGAACGTCACAAAGAAAAATAGTGTTCTGATTGGTTCGTGCTATATATCGACAACATCTGCCTACATCCTAATATGGCCAAAAAATATCACTGATGGAACCGGATTACACAAAAATCGAGCTGGAAGATCTGAGATTTTTTCTGCATAGCCATCAAACTATGCACGGCTCTATATCCTGC